TGTCCTAATTTATTCTACTAAAATTTAATTACCTATAACACTACATACCTAAAGTTTTCTAAAAAAGTTTGAACTAAAAGTTTGAAGTTATTAGGTGTATGTACTTAATGGGCAAAGTTTGTTGAATTTTTATAATTTTTGTACAAAATTTGAAATGTGGATTTATATGGGGCTTGTTATATGACCACAAGTGTGGGTATACCGCAGCTTTCCTTATATTTATTTCTCTGTTAAATCATTCATGAGTGGTAATTAGCCATTAGCAAACTGCATTTAATTATAATAAATTAAGGCAGGTGTATCACATTAATTTTTTTCTTGATTGGTGTAACCCCCTTCGCGATTTCGCACGCCAGTCGTCTCTCTTCTATTCCAACTGACGCCCATTCGGAGTCGCTATTGAAGCGAAGTTCGTATCCACCTGATCCTACCGTCACAGAGGAGACCTTCCTTTATATGAACGACATGGCTGAGTTCATTCAGCTCATCGGTAAATCGTCTGCGCGATGCCTCATCAGATGTTTTCATTGTCAATGTTTCTGCGGTATATACCAGCACGGTCATGATGAGTGACGTATAGTCTAAAGTAGCGCTTAATGGCAAGGGTGATTCTCCGTTGAATTTCAATGCTGACATTGGTTCTCAACTATATTTCCTCGTTCCCCACCAGACCCCGCGCTTTGCTTCTTTATCCTTCTTTCAGAAGGCAGAACAGACATTGCATTGATCGACTGATGATCTCGACGTCATCGGCACATGCTAGCAATTGGTATGATTTTGTAAAATTTTTTATCAGTTTTCTTATTGTCCCCTGCAACTTCAGCAAAAAAAAACATATACGACGGGGAGTTGCACTGTCTAAAACCACGTTTAGTACCAGGTCCAAAGCCGCACTGATAAGGCCCGATCAGTTCGTTGAGGATGGACTTAAGCTTTTCACACAATACGCGCGATAATATCTCATATCTGATGCTCAAAAGGCTGATACTGCGGTAGTGGTGCATATGACAGGGTCGTATTTCTTTCGGATTGAGCAGAGCACACTTAGGTTCCAATCAGCAGGAATGGTTCAGTCAGATCTCTGCTTCATGCACCGGGTATGAAAATTTAAATTTCGTCCGAATATAATAATAATAACTATTATTATCGCGGTTTAGATTTTCGGATGTCTGCCTTCCCGAGAACCTCTTTTTATAACAGAATATGAAATTGCTGTATACTCTAACCGAGGTTTAATAATGAACCCTTACTGAACGGTCTTTCAGGAAACTGAAAACGTGCTTGTAGAGTTCGATCCATTCAATGGCAGATTGCTTTATTTACCCAACAAATTTTCTCAATACTTATTGATATATCGAATCATCGGATTTTAGAGCTTTCGCTGTGCAACCTCCTTCTGCTTTTTCGATTATTTTTTTTTTTATTTCGGCACTTTTTTCAACAGTTTTACAATTTTTTTGCATGCGAAGTTGAGTTGTATTTTCCCCAAGTTTTTCTGTAATTGTATGCATTTAGTAAATTGCTATTTACAATAATTGATATTATTTTTGATTGAATGCACTATCGTAATGGTATGCTATTATATTGTTAGACAAGCTCTTTATATTCAAATTGGTCAAAAACAAAAAAAGCAAATCAAAACTCTACACTAAATGCAAGCACCGAAAAAGGTAAAACGAATTAATTCTATTCTAATATTTCATTTTTTCTATATTTTTTTGCGAAAATACATTCTATTATTGTTCATATACATATATTTGTTGCTACAACAACTTTTTGGAAATGATTTCTCTTTAATAAAAGTATCTACTCTTCATGTCATCCGTTTCTTATTAAAATTTCCATTTTGCGATATGCAATCTACAATATATTCTAAAATAACTACCTTTATTTGTATGTTGGTAATTTGAGCGATTTTTACTCGTATAAAGTTCATAAATATTTCATTCATTCATTCAAATATCAATCATTTAATTGTTTCAACAATCAATTTGAAAACAAGGCTCATTGAAGAATGAACGGTTCTCATTTATCATTTCATGGTTTTATTTTCCGTTAACCTACATACATACAATACATACAAAGATATATATTTTCGCAGAACCCACCTCGACGCATAAATGGCATTTTCAACAGGCTTCGAAGTTTTTTTAAGTATGAGAAATACTTGCAAGGTTTTTAAATACTCTGGAAATGTCTGGATATTAAATAGTTGTAGGTAAGACTTGACAGGTGACAACTTAAAATCCCTATTAAGCAAGTAGTGATTGATGTCGAGCTGAAATCATCTCAGCTTTTTCCTCTCGCAAGACTAGGGTCCAGACACGGAGCTCTCAGCCATCGATATTAAGACACATGCCCTCTTTTACCAAGAAGTGATTATTATTCACAAATCCTATCAATGGTCGCATCTTATAAGTATACGAGGAGAAGTCAAAATGTTAGGAAAATAAAAGGGGGATGTAAAATTATATACAGTTCCGGTTAATAAGACAAAATTTAAAGCAAAATTTAAAATGATATTGTTTGCAACTTATGTTTATCTATTTATTTTCATTTTAAATATAGTTCCATCTCTAATAGACCCACATAAATAACAGTTTCAAAGCTTGCACAAAGTTCACAAAAATGAATCAAACTTAAAAAAAAATCATCAAAATTTCAAGCTTTCTATTAAGAATTTTTGTGTAGAGAGTGTTGAGCATTTTTTTCATATAACGTATGTACATATGTATGAACAAAATGTATTTTTATTTGCAAGTAATGCCCATGTAGAGGATCTACAAAAAAATTCTAGGAAATCAAAGGTAATTTTCAGTGATTCGAAATTTGAACTTTATTATACTAAAATTGAATGGACTACAAAACTGCGTACTCTAAAAATTCTGAATAAAATCTTGATGATTTTTTTTTTTATTAAGTTTGATTAATTTTTGTGAACTTTGTGTAAGCTTTGAAACTTTTAGTTACATATGTGGTTTCTGTTGTAGATCGAACTATATTTTAAATGAAAATTACTAAAAATAAATAAATAAATATAACCTAAACAAATATTGGCAGAGTCCACTAAATAACGACCGTCGATTGTCGTAATTAAAAGTTTTGAAAAGTTGGACAAAAGAAGAGCTATTTCAGAATTTAATCGCCAACGGAAAATTGTTCGGTTCATCGCCAAACTGTTTCGAAGGCAATTCAGCGGTTCACTGAACTAGACCAACTGTCAACACATGAAGGAACCGCCAGATAAAAAACAAATGCGAATCCAATGAAATTCAGTGATTTCAATGATAAAATTTCCCGTGAGACTGGTATTGGCCGTGAAACGGTTCGTTAAATTCCAAAAAATTAGCTTCACATCAAGCCGTACAATATTCCATGATAGCAGTTGCTTACGAATGAGAAGCAAAAATAACGGCTGCAAAGGGGTGGACAACTCTTACGTCCTTCCGCAAATGTTCGCTGGGAAAAAAAGTATTTTGACTGATGGTCAAACTATCGAGATGATAGATTCTGGTCGACACATATTATCGGGCACTGTCAAAATCCCAAATCTGTGATGGTGTTGGCTGAAGTTGGTGCATCCGGCAAAACAATCCTGGTATCGCTAAAGCAATTACTGCCCCGTGAAAGGGATCTAATTTCTAAGTCGTTCACCGATAGGCCAAACCGGTTTGTCTTGTTATGCAAAGAGTTCACTTAGCCAGTTTTGCTGATTCAATCTATAAAATTTCTTCAACTTTAAACCGATATATACATAAGCATAACAATTCTAGCAGGACTGCAATTAATTTCTATAAAAATTCTTCCTCCTCAAACACATAAAGCTCCTAGAGTAACCCTACAAGGATTCTAAAAGGCGTATTACTGGTACGGAGTCCTATATGTATATCATCAAAGTATGTGTCTTTGTTGACTAAAATGTGTTTTCCATAAGTTTTTGTAAATATTCGGGACCCTTCATTCCAAGTGTAACTTGTAGCGTCTAAGTACTACAAGCTTTCTACATATACATTTGATATAACCATGCACAGGGTAAAAGCTTTCTCTGTCCATCGCCGCTCTTAATTTATGAAACATGTGTTAAAAACTATGCATTTTCTCTAAATGTTTGCCTCCCTCGAATATGCTCACCAGCTCTTCCCAAATGGAATTATTCGATTCTATACTCCTCAAATATGAAACCCTCAATTGATCGCTCATCATATTTGCTACCATAAAATACATGCCTTCATACATGCATATAATTTTTATGTTAAATATTTCACCTCAAACCGCCGCTTTCAAGTTCTTTATTTTTTTGTTTTGTTTTTCATGCAATTTCGATTTAAATTAATGTTAGCTTTATACGTTTACGTTTACGGCCGATTTTCAATTATTACCTAACACCGCGCCTTTTTGCGCTCCTTCCCCATCGTTTAGCTGTCGCCCGGACGTGAATGTTCAGACACCGACATGGAACCGCAAGCATCGCAGAGTCAAGATTGTGAGCCCACACCTCCATTACAACGACACAACTCGACGAATTTCTACCTGCCTCAAGTGGAGGCAGGCGTGAGCAATTTAAATAATGGCGTTATAGCAACTAATGCGGGCATGTTGCCCAACGCTGGCGGTGGAGGTGGAGGTGGTGGTGTTGGTGGTGGTGGTGGAGCAGCAGGCGGAGGTGGTGGAGGCGATTCGCCACGACATATGCGCATGTACCATCCGCGACACAGTCCATTAGCGCGACAGCGGTAAGTTTTTACATAAATATTTTTTAGAGCAAAGGCTTTATTTTTCTAATTAAATTTTTCCATTCTCTTCAAAAGCGGTTTGGAGCCACAACGCGGCTATAATCCCGCCGATCCACTGTCGCCCGATCATCCTGCTCATCCGGGCAATCAGGGCGCACAACAACAACGCAGTGGGACAACTGCAACACCCACAATGCAGCAACGAATAAAACCGTTGGGTGTGGCAACACCACTGGTGATGGCAAGTCCAGTTAGAAGGTGAGTCTTTTTTAGCGATTAAACGCATGTGAGCATAAGACGCGCGAGTACAAGGGCAAATTCGAGTGCGAAAGTGTAGTTGCAATTGCTGGGTGTCTTCAGGCCATAAAGTTTACACATTGACGAGCAATTGCAATTTAACTACTCTCAACCATCTAAATAACGTGCTCTACTACTCTGCGTTATAATTTTTATTTTTTTATTTTTTTTTTGTCTACATACAAATATCTGTTATAGTTACTACTATTTTCTAAAATATACGCAAAGAATGTGTCTAAACGTATTTAGTAATGTGAATTCTATGATTATCTAATCAAAACTGCTACATTTTCTTAACCGCAAAACTTTGTAAACGCCTTGAAAATTTATTAGCCAAAAAAAAGTAAAGTAAAAAAATGTATGTAATTTTTTCATGTAACTCCTAATCTTAGCAGGTATTTAACATAGCTTTATTTGCTTTTATTTCCGTGCTTCAAAATTAATAATGAAATATTTCGCTTTCGATTTTGTGAATATATTTTTACTTGTTAATTTTTTTTATTGTTTTGCATTGAAGATGGACATAGCTGGAATTAGCAATTCTTAATTTATGCCAACGCATAATGCAAAATCGGTAAATAACTCGAATTTTAAAGAAAAATTATCGTTAAATAGGAATTTATATCGCCAACGCGCTTTTTCCGGCATACATATGTATTTTCTTAAAGTTTGCATTTATTTCAAAGGAGAAACAAAAATAGAAGTGAAAATACAAATGCTGAAAAACACACTCATTGGCAACTCCGGGCCGAGGCATATATAGCCAGGCTCCTTGTTCATAATAAACATTTGCGTTTTACGATTTAAGCAAATTATACATTTTAATTTCATCGTCTCCACATCAATCAAGGCGAATTCGTATACTAAGGTGGTCTTGCTAAAACAGCTGCTTTGTTGTTGTTGTTGTTGTTGTAGCGGCTACAACAACCGCGCCCAGATCGGTTGGTATCTCAGTCGTTGTCGTCAAGTTCCACTAACGGCAACCCTAGGAAGCGTGCAGCTTCTGCGGGGTTTGCCCATAAGGACAAGGCCGTTAGGGATGTCGGGTTTGCCGGGCATGCGAAGAGATGTTTCGAGTCATGTGGGGTCTCTCCGCATGCCGGACATTCGTTCGGCACATCCTCATTCAGTCTACTCAAGTAGGAGTTTAACCTGCTGCAGTAGCCGGAGCGAAGTTGTGCGAGTGTAGTGCGTGTCTCCCGAGGCAGATGAAGCTCCGTCTCGTCAATGTCCGGGGGTGGTGTGCCTAGAACGGCTGCTTTAATTCGCCTCGGTATGCATATGTCAAAACTCCTTATGAATGAGTGCCAAAGTAGGAGTGTTGGAATTTTCTTTCCCTCGTCCTCCTTGGGCAAAGAACATCCGAAATTTGGCATTAGTATAAGGTAGGCCCTTTTAAGTGAAGTCAATCTAAACGGCTTACCGAAGAAGGGCTGAAAAAGCACGCCTTCTTTAAGGGCTTTTTACAATTTACATGAATATGAGTTCATATTATTAAGCATTACAAATTAATTTCAATGTGAATTTGGAGTTGAATAAAACATGTTTGATTTAAATCTCATTCAAATACTTTAAAAATGCATGATTTTTATTATTTAAAGATGCAGCTTTAGAAAGACTTCTCCAAAAGGCGTTCTGAAGTACGTCCTTCAAAAGCCCTTCTGGAATTTACAAAAAATAAAGGCAAGGTGGAATGCCTCCTGACTCCCAAAAAGGCCTTTCGGAAGGGCTTTTTAATTATGAAATTGTCTTATACCAGCCGGTCGGTCACGTCTCTGGTGTGCTATACGGAGAAGACGTTTCCAAGGCCCATGATATGTTATACCAGTTAAATAGAGTATATAATGCAGTGTGTTAAGCAAGAAAGAATGCGAGGTTTTGCAAAAGGTTTGAGAGGCAGTCGCAAAGAATCTCAAACTGGTGCGATACAATATAATGCGATGCTTAATCTCTCTTATGACAATAGGAAAGTCGCCTTGCATATTTTCAGAATCTCTTCGCTCGGAGAAGTTGCTTAACATCCTAGCCTTCCTAGGCAAGCTTGGTCCTCTTGTGACTAAACTAATGTTTCCTTTTCGTCCCATAATCTTAACCTAGTTAATTAAATTGTTATTAATGTAAATAAGAACAGCGATGTCCGTATTTTCACACTTTTATTCAAATTTTTGTTTTTCCTTTTTAATAAATGCAATTGCTCTCTGCATTCGATCATCTTGCCACTTAGGGGTCAGCATTTTGCTTGGCCACAAATTTTCGTACATTACTAATTTTAGAAAATCATCATACTGCTTATGAATGTTGCATTAGCTATTATTAAATCTTTAACTGAAAAAAAGCGTTAAAATTTGTTTGTCAGATATTTGCAGAGTGTTGTAGTATACATACATAGATGTGGGCCATTGAAAAATATAAAAGCTTACATGCACATCTGTAGGAACGCCAGAAATTGCGCCATTTCTCGAGATATCAGAAAGATTTTGTCTTATTGAGTTGGAGCATTTCCCCACAATATTCACGTCAACATATTTACATATATCCATGTATATGTAAACAAATTATGTTACAAATCGTCAGTAACTTTTCATTGAAGATAGAGTAGATCACTATTTTTTAAGCCTATGTTAATCATCATAATTGCCTCACTTTTTCAGTAAATTAACTATTTTTCTTTTCCAACGTTTTACTACAAAAATTCTTCTTTTCTTTTTCGTTCTTTCTTCGCTAGTCAATACTCAAAAACTGATACAAATTTAAACTGCTAAGCTTATAATAAACTGCATATACATAGATAGAGTTAAATGGAAATTAAATTTGAGTGTTAAAAAAATTTTGTAAAAAACCTTGTGACTTGTAAAATTCTACAACACCATCTAAAACCACAACTAATCGTACTATATACCACTACTTCTAATGCTTCTTCTACAACTACTACCATAACTGCTACTACTATCAATACAACCAACCACAACCGCTACGACTACCTACCACCACTTCTATTCTAACGATCTTCGATTTGAACTTCAACTGCAACTTGAATTCTTCTTGTTCTTCTTCTTATTCCCCACTTCGATCGCGCTTGTGCATACACTTAAACATGTACACACGCCTTCACCACCACAAGCTCCAATCGAACCTCAAGCCCAAGCTCAGCTTCAGCCTCAACTTCAATGTCTGCTCAGCCAAGCTTTGTATAAGCTCTCCGCTGTGTAGCAAATGTTTTCAATGCGTTCGTTCGGTCGTTCGTTTGTTCGTTCGTACGTACAGTTTCCGTCCAATACTTCCGCCACCACTACCACCACCACTACTACTACTATGTTGTAATATTCATTGGAGGTGAGTTTTACGTTTGTTACGTTCGATTTTTTTTCGCCACAATTCTTTTTTTTTATTTCTTTATTAAATCTAATCATCTGTAAATCGAATTTCATGGTATCAAAAGCAAATAATTTCGTTAATTCATTTTATGTTTGCTCTATATATTACCGTTTTTTTGCTGTACTCGTCTGGAATCACAATCAAAGCAAAAACAAAAAAAAATAATCACTCATAACAGTTTATATTAAACTCCCATTTCTTTTTTATGTATCTTATGTAATCGTACATTCACCGTTTTATTACAGTCATGGAAATGGCCAGATAATACTTTATTCATTTGTTAATTTGTTAACATAAGATTTTTCAATATCATACAAATCATTCTTTATGTTATAGGTAATGAACTTAAACGATTCTGTTAACTGTGGTGCTCATGTGTGCTTGTACAATTGTCCACAAAATAATAGGAGTGCGATATTTTGACCAGTTTGGACTTTTGTTTATTTAATGCCTAATATTTTTTTATAAAAGTCTAGCTGGTAAAAAAAAATAATAATAATAAACATTAAATAAACAAAGGATAAATAGTTCAAACTGATCAAAATATCGCACTCCTATTGTTTTGCCGACAACTGTCCACGCTACATACCAATATACATAACTCAAAATAACGAAAACTAATCGAAATTATTGATCCTTTAACTTTTATGTCAATAATAGGTTAACTTGACGCATTGATAGCACTGTGCAAAAATTTCAGGGTCATTTTGTGGGACGGAATGATCGAGTTTTTTGCATGAGTGTTTTAAGAATACATAAGTTGGAAAAGAGTTAGAATAATTTTGTAGAACATATTAACCCATTAGCATCGTTTTGACGGCTTTTTTTGGTAAGTCTGAGTAAAATGGTATTTGGGAGTTTGCTGGAGTGTTTAAATGTTCTAGAAAATTATTCGCCAGAAAATTCCACTAGGGACATTCTCAGACAAAATCTTTATACAAAGAACATAAAAAACAAAAACAAATATCGCTTATTTACTTCAATAGTTTCATAATCCAAAAAATACACATTTTGAGCTGGGTATGCAGAAATTACCGCCACCTTTTCTTCTATGTTGTGTAAAAATTGCATAGCTGTATCGATTACCAGTATTTCACTGGAACAAAATATGGCTGTGCTATGGTGATGTCAGCCCGGTAATTCTCTTAGCAAACCTGTTGGACAGAGGCGCCATTCCTATGCAGGGTCCACAAATAACAAGCGCATATCCGTAAAGCGTTGTTGTTGTTGTTGTTGTAGCGGCTACAACAACCCCGCCCAAATCGGCTAGTATCTCAGTCGTTGTCATCAAGCTCAGCTAACGGAAGACCCAAGAAGCGCGCCGCCTCTATAGGGTCTGTCCACAGAGACAGAAACGTTAGTTGCGTTGGGTTTTCCGGGCATACGAAGAGATGATTCGAGTCGTGGGGTGTTTCTCCGCATTCGTTTGGCACATCTGCATCTAATCTGCTAAGGCATGAGTTCAACCTGCTGCAGTAGCCAGAGCGAAGTTGGGCTATTGAGGTCCGTATCTGCCGAGACCGACGAAGCTCCGTATCGTCTATGTCTGGTGGTTATGTGCCCAGAACGGCATTCACAGGTGTCTG